CATAAAGGAGGTGGGCGGGGCGGTGGGGGTGGCGGTGGGACATGACAAGGTCCCCAGCCGTCCCCTCCCTGTCCCCCTCACCGTCCCTTCGTCCCCAGAGCTTCCTGCTGAAGCGCAGCGGCAACTCCCTCAACAAGGAGTGGAAGAAGAAGTACGTGACCTTGTCCAGCAATGGGCTCCTCTTCTACCACCCCAGCATCAATGTGAGTGTCCCCGTCCCCCACCCCTGTCCCCACGACGGGGAAGGAGCCCCGGTCTCAGCCCCTGCCTGTCCCTGCGGCAGGACTACATCCACAGCACCCACGGGAAGGAGATGGACCTTCTCCGTACCACTGTCAAGGTCCCCGGCAAGCGCCCGCCCCGCGCCATCTCTGCCTGCGGCCCCTCCGCCAGCATCAATGGGCTGGTGAAGGACGTGGGCGGCGGGACGGCACCCGAGGGTGGTGGTGAGTACCGGGGCAGGGGTGGTGGCAAGTGGGGTCCGAGGGGACCCCCGTGTCACCGGTCCTTCCCCACCCGCAGCCGGCGCCTCCCCCGTGGGGCTCAGCCTCCCCCCGGAGCCGGGGATGAAGGGCACAGGCAAGGCTGAGCGGTCCCTGCAGCGCTGCGCCTCCGCCTCCAGCGCCAAGCTGTCTGGCTCCGGTGAGTGTCCCCGTCACCTCTCGCCCTCGCGGACCCGGCCACCTCCCCAGGATAGAGCCAGGGACCTCACCTGTGGTGGCCCCAATGAGCCCGGTGGCCTCTGGTGAGCCTGGGGACCCGGTGGCCCTTGGTGGCCCTGGTGATCCTGCAGGCCACAATGAACCTGGTGGCCCTGCTGAGCCCAGTGGCCCCAGTGACCCTGGTGGATTTGGTGACCCTGGTGGCTCCAATGGTCCTGGTGACCCTCGTGACCTGGTGGCCCCAGTGATCCTGGTGAGACCAATGGACTTGGTGGCCCTGGTGGTCCTAGTGACCACAGTGAACCCAGTGGCCCTTGTGAGCCCGGTGGCCCCGGTGAGCCCCATGGCTCTGGTGGACTTGGTCACCCTGGTGGCTCCAATGGCCCTGGTGAGCCCACTGGTCCTTGTGATGCTGGTGGCCCCAGTGACCCTGGTGGCCCCAGTGATCCTAATGAGTGCAGTGGCCCTGGCGAGCTCGGTGGCCCCCAGCACCCCAGCGTGTGGCTCTCTCAGCAGATGGCCCCCCCGCCTTCGAGGCCATATCCAGCCCCAGCAGCTCAGGCAAAGACCCGCCGCCGTCGCCCATGATCGACAGGAAGAAGCACCGACGGAAGAAGCTGATGACGCCGTCCAAGACGGAGGGCTCGGCCGGGCAGGCGGAAGGTGAGAGCCGCAGGGACGGTGCCCCGGTCACTCGTGGACGG